CCGGCAGACAATGCTGCCATCTCTGTGGATGGATCATTTCTGGTAGCAGACGGTACGTTAGGGGCAGGTATGATTCTGAGAAGACATCACAGAAGCGTCATTTTCGCAGCATACCGATACTTTGTCATTTTTAGAGCATATCAATACTTTGTTTCATTGCAATGATGTGTTGGAGGCAGAGACACGTGCGCCCATGCAAGGTATGACTCTTGCCATACAGCATACTGACCTTCACTGGTGGTCCAATTGGATTCGTCTATTGCTTTGTCCATTTTCACTAGTGATGGCCTAGACTGCTCGGTCTATGGTTATCTTGTAGCTGAGATCAAGACACTTATGAAAGACTGGAAGTTATAAAATAGAGTTGAAGATCGTCTGACATATTATAGACTAATTGAGTGTAGAAGTGATGTGTGACTACACAAAGACGCACCTTGTATTAAGAAGCTTACAAAATAAGAGTTGGAGATTGTCCGGCATATTATAGCTAGCTGAGTGTAGCACTGATGTGTGACTACACATAGGTCCACCATATATTGAAGAGCTAGTGCCTCTTGAAATTATTTTGGAATAAAACTCTCATATTCCCACCCACAAAAAAGATCACAGAAGAACTTTATAATTCCGCATACGAGCATTATCGTGTATTCATCGTACTTCTGTTTGGAACACAAAGTTGCTTCTAGTCTGAACACAAAGTTGCTTCTAGTCTAGTACTAGAAGCTACAGCACGAGAGATATTCCCCTCATAATGGTAGGAGAAATTTGATGACTACAAAGTGAAGATCCACGAGCCTGAGTTGATGGCGCCGATCATCACTTCCACAGAAAATCATGCGACTCACAGATCTAGCAAGAAGCACTTATTACTCGTGAACGGTACAAATATCCATATGAGTGGCGTATGCCATGGTTACCAGGAAGGAGGTTACAAAGAACATATGAGAACAAACTTCGTTCTGCCTTTGGACATCAAGCGATCATATCTGTACTTCACAACATCAGTAACTCACGAGCTGGCATGCCATCCCATCCCGTCTTCCTAGACACCCAGAGAATACAGACACAACAATCCGGCAAAGGATGGACAGGCAGCAGAAGGAGTTCAGGCATAGGCCACGCAACCAGGGGACATGAAAGCCTAATTGAGAAAATCTTTCATAGGATCGTCGTGGCGGACTCTTGTCATACGGTAGGCCTCCATGTCTTCCGCAGTGACCTCGTCATTCCACTTCACATTGTACTTTCTCTTTCTTTCGTCCATCTCTTCCTTCTTCCTCTTTGCCTCCTATAGAAAAAGTAACAGAACTTTAGCACCAGCAACAATGATGAATCAACAAACAAGAAATATGCAAAGGTGGATGAATAAGAGATGCTAACCTTCTTTAAGGATTCCTCAAGCAACTTCTGGTCGAGAACAAGATCCTGAGGAATATCTGTTCCCCAAGTGGCTAGTTTCTTTTCTTCTTGTCGTACAGGTTCCTCTGCACCAAGTAATTCAAGTTAACTTAGATGTTCACGACCATGGTGGAGTAACACCTCAGTTGATTTATAACAGTATAAATTAGGCTAACATGAATAAACTGAAATCTGGGACTACTTTCTTAAGAACTAGACAAGTTTCAGATAAATAAATAGGAGAACCACCTTCTTCTCTCATAAAACAGATCGCTGTTCAGTTGACTATAGCGTGACCTAATATTTAATGCAATTTGGTGCTTTTTTCAACAGCAATGGTTTTATCCTATGACTATGCTAAAGATACGATGTCACGACTTTTTCCACTTTAGAGTGCAACATTATATCTATGGATGCACAAATATAAGCCAAAATAATTTCTCAACACACCTTCGGCAGCCTCCTTGCGGGCCATATTTTCCCTCATCAAATCAGCTGATGCTTCAGCAGCCTCGATTCCAGCAAGGCCTGTGCAATAACTATTTTTAATAGTCTGCTTGCAGCACTTATAGCCCCATTGATGATCTTTCCACCATGAACCCCACACTGTTGTGTGGTTATTAATTAGGACATCCTCTTCATATTTGCTCTTAGGAAGAGCTACATCCTGTAGAATAATTTTTTTCTATACATTAGACCTCAAGACTGAGAAATAGTGTGAACAATTTAACTAGAATCATAGCATCCAATCTTAACCGTGGTAACAAAATAGCTGGCATCAAGTAAAAGAAAATGCAGTTCTAAATTTATTTTAAATGACAAAGCAATAGCCAATACTATATGGTAGTCACAACTGACATGAGAGCCCTGGAAAACTACATAAACAACATTTTATTTTGAGAAGTTTAGGAGACACATGGTTAATTTTTGGTATCCGATGACACCCATCGCTTACGACTGCATATTTCAAACCTCAAGAATAACATCATCTTTCATGCAACCGGCTGCAGTTAGCTGGCCTTCTCAGGTCTAGGATTGTACAGTGCATATAAAATTATCTATAGTGAAACCATAGGGTGCTGTATATGGTGTGAGGTCAAGAAAATAGTCACACTCGCACCATATAATTGATGTGAATCTTCAAAACATTATAATCAAAACACAACCTCACATCACAGTAACAGAAGAACAGCAAATGATTATAAAGGTATATAATTATTAATGCACAGCACTCAGTATTTATGTACCAACCTGTCCTTTGATTATGCGACCAGTCCGGTCATACTCAATCTCTTTTTCACTTTGCCCAAGAAGAAGCTCACGAGGGATTGGTTCGTCAGATGCAGCATTCCCATACTTCTCCATAATTTTGTCCTTGCTTTCAGATTTCAACTTCTCCTTCTTGATCTTGAAACTCTTGTACAGTAGTTCAGCTTGAGATGGAGCTGCTTGCATATGGAAATCCTGCCCCTTGTCAAAAGCCTCCCATGCATGGACATTGAGTTGCTTGAACTCAAGAGCTTGTCCACTAAGTCTATTTTGGTTATCACCCTGCATCATAACAATATATCAGAATACTGAAGCTGATAGCATAGCCAAGCGGAGATTTGACGGAACTATGAACAGTGTAAGAAATTTAACTTGTATGTTCTCTATCACTTACCACATAGAATTTATCATTGGGGTCTGCATCTGGCAAAGGATCCTCACGCATCGAGCGGGTTTTTGGATCATAATATGCAGAGTTCACATCAAGATTCAGAAGATACTTTGCAGTGTCTTCTCTGATACGCAAATTCCTGTGAAGATCAATAATAAACATATGCATCAGAACCGATTCTTCATACATCTCAGGTTCACATGACCTAATATAATCTAGAATTTTGAAGGGACAACATTTGTTTCCAACAAGGACATACCTAACAGTTCCAGTGCTTCCACCGCCTGTTGTGCGCACACGCTTCTCTACCTTAGCAAAATCCATTTGAGCGCTCTCATCAACTTTAGCCTCATCTATCTTCAGGCCATCTTCTTCATCCTCTTCACTGCCCACATTCTCACCATCCTGCTCACCATCCTTCTCCTCGAGCTTCTTGAGCTGTTGTTCTTTCAGGAACTTTTTCCTGGCCTCTTCTCTAGCTTCATAATCTTGGATAACACGAGTGTAGGTTGATGTGTCATAACCATTCCAACGGTCACGCTTGCCATCATAATCAAGCTCAAACGACTCGACTTTCTCATCTGGTGCTATATTCATATTGGTATATTTAGCTCCAACATTCCGAGGTCGATCCATGCATGCCTTCTTATTGTGAGTCATGGCTCCACAGCTGAAATATCAAGAGACATTATCTGTAAGAAATGCTTCACTACAGAGTCCAAAGAACATTCATGCTAAGTACTTTAGGACTTCATTATGAAGTCGCGGTAAGGACTAACAAGAAAATCCACATAACGATGAGCATCAGTGCTGGACGAAAACTAGCAGCATGAGATGAACACCGCACTTACTTTTCGCAAGCGCCTTTTCTGTATTTGTTGGCCTGGAAAAGCCTGGCACCCCTATCGTACCACGCTTTTGTGTAATTCGGATCCGACTTCCATTTCCGCTGATGCTTCAAACTCTGAAACCCATCCAACCAACAAGTCAGGGATCCACTAACCAAATCATCCCACACCGCAAAAACTAGAATTTTAATAGGGCACAAAACAACTTACCGGCTTCTCGGCGTTGAGATACCATGGGGCCGAGGACATATACTGCGGGATGTGAGGGTTAATCTCGTTTCCATCCTCGTCGACTTCGGCAGGGGCGAGCCCCGCCTTACGCGCCTCCTCAAGCTCGAGCTGCTTCCGGTGGTCCTCACGAGACTTGAACGATACTGCCATAAACGCAAAAATCACACAGCTAAGATAACTGTCGACGGTAATCCGACACCCCGATCAGAAATTAGGCAACGAAAAGCCCGCGCGGCTCCCAGCGAAACCCTAATTCCCTTCGAATCGAAACCGATTATGCCGCAGAATATGTCCCCGGATCTAAAATCGGAGAGAGTCCGCGCGGTTCACGATGCGAAATCCGCACCGGCGAGAACCGAAATAGGGTTAGGGTTTCGGGAAGATCGACTCACCTGAAGCGGTCGCCATGGCGCCTGCCTCTTCTAGTCTCGCCGGCGCTACGCGGCGGCGGCGACGAACGGCGCCGAGATAACGAGAGACGACGAGGAAAGAGAGGAACGCACCCAAACGAATTTGGAGGATTTTTTTTCTTTTCTTTGCGGTGCCAGTTATTATGCGTGGCGGCTAACCCGCAATGGGTCCGACTCGGAAGCCGGGAGCCCACGGTGGTTACCGCCATAGTGAGAAACGTGGACCGTCAAAGCCCAGTAATCCATCCCGGCTCGTTCGGGGCTAGGGAAGAGCCCACAAAGGCCCAACTGCGGCGCCCCAACCCCACCTTCCGCAACGACCCACACAGATAGGACTCGCCGGCTGCTTCGCCGTCCCCTCGCCGTCGCGTCGCGCACAGGCTCTGAAACCCTACGCACCAAAACCGGCCACTCCCAATGGCGGCCGCGACGGCGACCGCTGCCGCACCGGCCGTGTTCGCCCCGGCGCTCGTCTCTCCCCTATCGCGCCGCGCCTTCTTCCCGCTCCCCCGTCGCGCCGGCCAGCCCGCCATCCCTCGGTCGCTGCGGTAATCCCGTACCACCTCGCCCTTTTTCTCTGTATTTTATTGAGGATTTACGGCTGGACGCGATAAATCCTTTTAATTTTTGCCGGGAACTGAAGGCTCTTGGCGTCGGCGTCCCCGAGGAGATGCGGGGTGGCCGTGAATGCGGCGGCGGCAGGGGCCGCTGACTTCAGCGACGATGAGAGCTCTTATGAGGTAGACGCTGAAATGGGCTACATGACCAGATTTCTGTCTAATATTGTGCACTTGCTGAACCTGTGTTTTGATTTTCTGCTGTTTCGGTGTTAGATTCTGGGCATTACCCCACTCGATAGCTTCGACAACATGAAGCTAGCATACAAGAGGAAGCGCAAGGAAGCAGAGGAGACAGGAGATGAGGACTTCTTGGCCAAGGTTACGCGCTGTATTGAAGATTGACTGATTGTTTGATTTTGGCTTGCACGCCTTATTAGTTTTGTTGTGGTGCACTAATAATGGTGGAGCTATTGGGATTTCAGCTGGAGAAAGCGTATGACACTGTGATGATGCAGCAGCTGCAGTATAGGAAGAAGGGGGTCACATATGGATCGGTTCAGGTTGGCTGTTATGGCATGCATGGATACTGATTTTTCATAATTGGGACATTCACAAATTACAAGATTCACATTGCATTTGTTCCATATGTAGATGTTTTAGATATATCCTATTTGTAGAAGGATAGAATGGAGTAACTAGACATATCCTATAGAAGGCATTGTCAGTCAAAGGTACGGTGCGGTTATAACTGCATTGTAAATATCCTAGGAAATGTACAGATGGATAGACTTGTAGGTTGAAACCATCTAAGTCCTTTCCTACTAATGTTCTCCACTTAATATGATTTTCTTCATTACTTGTCTCATTTACTTTCTGAATGTCAGGTATCAAAGGATATGTTCTCCACTTAATATGATTTTCTTCATTACTTGTCTCATTTACTTTCTGAATGTCAGGTATCAAAGGATATCAAGTACGCTGACAATCAACCAATAGTTCCTTGGGGACCTAGGTACATTTAAAAAGTTCAATATAAGGAATTTCTGTTTCCTTTTTCCGTCGACATTATTTTTGTGGGTTCACTTAATTTTTGTGATACACGTTATGAAAATGGCAAATTCATTCTCTTTATTACCCATGAACATCGTCATGAGAATGTTACTGGACAATTTTAACTCAGCAAGTCAGCATGATAAGCAGGCCTATCCCACAAGCGTGCATTGCCCTGTTTAATTCAGCCTTCTCCATGTTCATGCGTTTAATTTGATACCAAGGACCAATACTCTTATTCTGTATGGGCAGCACAACTTTTTTGTGACAAGGATATGTGCACCAAGCACTTGTAATTTGAATTAAACAGCAGCATGCATGTGAAGTTAATACTATTGATAAACTTATGCATCTTGCAGACCCTCCAAATCAGCAGTACAGGATGTGCGCATAAATATGGCAATATCAGCAGCAATTGTATGATCTTAACACATTCCTAGCTATTACTGGTCTATTCACTATCATGTTTTTATGCTTTTCAGTGTCTACTTTCTGGTTATTGTGACTATCACGTCGATATGATTATTCTCATAACAAATTAGATTGATTTAAAGTTACCAACTCTAAATATACTTAGGATAAGTTGTAATGCTTGAGCGTGCATTTGAAATTTCTGCATGCATGTTAATTTAGTGTTGTTATCAGTTAAGAAGTTACACCATCCTCCTAGTTAAAAGTAGATGTCGTATTAGCCTAAAAGTCTGGTGTTCAATACTTCTCATTTTGTGTTCTTCGGGTAATGTTTCCATTAAAATGCCCTTCTTAAGTATTGAATGCTATGAATTGCCTCTCTGAATGTCTTCACCGAAGTCTTTGTCTAAATGCTCCTATGTCTCCCTGGCCAATTTATTAAGGCCTAACATATAAAAAACTAAGGTGTTGACACTTTCCTCATCTTGTGTGCCCAAAGTTCAAATGCATCTATTTGGGCAAATGAAATTATGTTTATGGATATTTATTCGTTGACTAGAAGTGTATCTTTATTTTGCAAAAGATGTTAATTTCAGTTATATTGCAGGTTGTTTGCATTGCTATCATCGGTAATGCAGACTGGAAGCCTTTGCAGTTCTTGTGTTTTGCTTTCTTCTACAGAATACTTCAGAAGCTGAGGGTTACTGAGCCACCAATAACTCCAATATATAATGTGAGACCATTTCCTAGTCACTTACTAGCCTATAGTTAGCACATTACTGTACGGTGTTGAACCATTGTTGTCTGCGTGCATTTTATATGTATTCAGGAGTTTAACATAATCACATTTTCTGGTGCTTTCTGCAGGAGTATGGTGAGGTTGAGGGAAGAGGGGTACGAATGGCAAAACGTGTATTCCGCGCTTTGGGTTTGATATTTGGATGTGTATTCGCTGCGTCCCTGGTCAGTGGTGTTATCTTACACAATGCATTGCCGCTAGATTCTTCTTGGGTTTTCCTGCTGCAATGTTATCTACGACCGCTTGTAGTTTTTATTTGCATTTTGGCTGACTATTCTGTCTGCTATTCTTTTCAGGGTTATACAATAGCTCTTAACTTGGTTGAGTTATCTTGGCAGCAGACTCCCCGTATTGTTTATTACTACCAGGTATAGTTAACATCAGTAACATGTTCATGGAGGGTAGCGTTCCATGTCAACAACATGCACATGCATGCTGGCTAGATTAACTTTTCGTCCTTGGCTGCATCACATCATCTAATGCTCACTTGTGATGTTTTAAATTATTGTGTGTAATTATTTGTTTCAGGAGTTGATTGTTACAGCAGCTGCCTCTGTTCTGCTGTGCATCACGGCTTCGTACTACCGGTAAACAGTACTGGAGGAGTTATATCCTGGCTTAGAAAACCTTTGGATGTTAGGACGAGGTGGGCAGCTTTCGGTGAGAGACTCCACACTTGTGTAGTGGTGCCACATTAGGGAAAAGCCAAGACGCGGACACAAATTTTTGAAATATACGTACTTGTGCCAGCATTTGAGGTAGAGAATTTTGGGTGCCTGCTTTTGTTTGAACAATTGTGGAACTTACTGTGCAAAAGGCGATGACTGGTGAACATATTTTGTGCATATCTAGCGGCGTAATGTATGAAGTTGAAAACATATCTGATTCTTATCCGTATGAAGACTGATGGGTCCTTTTAAGCCTTGTGCTTGTGGTTTGTTTTGGTATTGTCGGCAAACATGGCTTACTTTGTATTGTACTCCCTCCGTTCCAAGTTAATTGTAGTTCTAGGTTTGTCCTAAGTCTATCTTCTTTGACTTTGACCAAGTCTAGTGAAGTTGTAGGCTTGTCATAATTGAGTACTCCCTTCTGTTCCATAATATAAGAGCGTGTGTGGTCTCAAAAACGCTTTTATATTATGGAAAGGAGGGAGTACCTGCTTGTGGCAGCTAGTCTGGTCGAGGTTGTTTGGTTGATGCCCACAGCAGCCCTGCCAATCCATCGGCACGCCAAAATATTGGTGACCGATTTGGCCGCCAGCATCTCGCCCTGGAATTGGCTATCGAGTGAACTGGAAAGCGCCAATGGGCTTTGGCAAGCCAAAAATTTGGAGCCCAACCACACGGATACCAATGCAGCGGTCAACGCCAAAAAATTGGCTGGGCAGCTCACGGTAGCGATCCAAACACACCGGTGCAAAGCAGCACATCTCTAAATCGGAAGCTGCACAAAATTCGTACAGTTTGCAATTACTCAGTTAACCACTAGATAAGGAAAGATAAAACAGTCAATGTCCAGCATCTTTTGTGTAGGAGTAACGGTTTTCCAGCGCTCACTAACAAAAGTTCATTCTTAACCAAGGTGTTTTTTCAAGCCCTAGGCGCTGAGCAAAAGTTGTGCCTCTGCTTAGTGCAATGACACCTTAAGCGCTGAGGTCAGGGAACGGGAACTCACGGTCCAGCCACAGCGCTAGGTCGGGGAAGAAAGCCCGATGCGCAAGGTCTGACTTGCTCTCCTTTGTTCCCCTCACCCACTCTCCTTTGACTAACCCTAGGCGTCCAGCGCTTACCTAAAGGCGAAGCGGCAGGCCTCTGCTAAGCGCTTAAGCACGCCTAGTGCGCTCAATTTTTCACTGTTCTTAACTGAAGAAATACATAACCAAAGCGTTTGACACAGTTGCGTTGAGACTTGAAATTTTGAACAGATTTTCGCCCCTCTCTGGTTTCAACCAAGAGAACTGTCACACGTGTACCAAACCAAAAAACTTTGGAGTACCAAAGGGTTCCGATTGTCTTGTACTTCTATTCAATTAGAACCAACTGATTCGGAAGGAAAAAAAACAACCAAGAAATAGTTAAATGGTATGCTTTATAGCTACCAAATTTCACATCAACAACATCAGAATATAACAAAATGGTTATTTGCCAGTTAGTTACAAAAGAATGGGACAGTTTCTCTCTTTCTCGAGAAGCTGAATTGCAGCAAAGTAAATACACCTATACAAAAAGCATCATCTAGAACAAGCTGGCCTCCTGAAACCATAAACCCAATTTGTATGTATTCTAACACTTCAATGCAAGTAATGCTGAAGCTATGGAGACCGTGCATCCACCGGTCAAGAGAATCAACCACTATTACCAAGCCCAGCCATCATCCCCGTAAATGTGGCTACTGCAAATCCAAGCACCGCGCCAGCAAAAACCTGATAAGATACAAGTCAATAAATACATATGTGACACCAAGAATGTTGAATGTGTCCCATGGTTTCGTGCACTTTCATCAGGTAAGAAGCAAATATGATGGGATAGGGACTATCACTTCATGCACTTGTGTGCAAGTACCATGTGTTAGTTCATGAAGAATTAGGCATTCATCTTCCTTAGCATGGTTGATAAGGGAGCAACAAATCAAACCTGAGGAGGTGTGTGTCCTATGAGCTCTCGCAACGGTCTTGTTTCAGCAAGTGGATGCTCTGATGGTAGCTCGTATACAATTTGATTCAAGACCTAGAAATATATTTAAAACAAGTTATAACTGAAAGGAGATAGAAGCATCACCAGAAGAGCAGAAAAATAGTGAATATACTAAACTGAAAATTATGGTGCTTCCCAGGTTATGCATATGGACTTAATAATAGCATGGCCTTTTAACTAAAGGCACAGATCACCAATGACTTCTGTGGTGAAATGTTACTCCATGAGCTATTTAAGTGGACATAATTTGTTGGTGATCACCTAATTTGTTACTTCAAATAATGTTACTCCTTCTGTGGTAAAATGTTACTTCAAATAGCGAGTATAATTTGTTGTATGAGCTATTTAAGTGGACATAAGCAACAAAACAAGCAAGGAAGTACATACGGTACTTACTAATGAGACTACAAAGTGTTACAACATGTCAACAATGCAACAAAGCCTAGATTGTTCTAGGCTTCCAGCTAGATTTGCACTTTTCTAGCTGAATAAGAGACCGTAGTTTTAGCAATGGGCCACCACTTGCCATTCATAAAGTCGTTCGTTGCTACCAGTATTTATTTGACATGATCCTTTGCGTCCATAAATTATTTTACTTTTGAGTAGTTACAAATATTTGAAGGTTTCAGATAGTACCTCTGCTTGCCTCCCTGCATGTAGCCTAACACCAAAAGCATCATACATCACCTGCAAATTTGCATTGCCAGAAAGATGGCTTTAGCGAAGATGATGAAAAAAAAAGTAGCGCATATGTAATACAGAGTGCTGCATTTTCTGAAGATGGCATGGAATCATAAGCAACATGACAAGCTCGTCGGGATACCACTATGCAAGACGTAGGGGAGTTAAAAAAATAAAAATACAGCCGTGAGATTAGGCGGAGAGACTATCTGTTTGTATGGCTGTACCTTGTGATGAACTCCTCCACACGATTGATTTTCAGTACTACTTATACACAAGTAGGGGTGATTTTCTCATGCTTGCTACTGTCCTACTTTCTACTCCCTCCATTCCTAAATATAAGTCTTTTTAGACATTTCAAATGGACTACAACATACGAATGTATGTAGACATATTTTAGAGTGTAGATTCACTCATTTTGCTCCGTATGTAGTCACTTGTTGAAATCTCTAAAAAGACTTATATTTAGGAACGGGGGGAGTACTTGTTTGCTCAAGTTCGCAAACAAAGTAAGACAATATCATCACCATGGCCACACCATGCCCCCAACCGCATATATTATCCTCTATGTAATCAGAGGTTTCAGGTGTTTAAGGCGCTTGCATTTTCTTCTCATGTGTACTGTACTTTCTATTATAGTAATGACTGAACCAAGATATGCCGTCTTTAGGTTTTCTACTAAAACTTCAGTCTTGACTAAAATTTAGCTACTGAAGTGATCCAAGAAATGAACGAAATGATGTGTAGGTTTACCAAATTATTTACCAGAAAAGGATACTACTCGTCAGATCGAGGACCCATCATCGAAAGATCCAACATTTCTAACAGCTAGAACAATCAAGACTCAAGAGAGAAACAGCGCTAACCACAGAGGCGAAGATGGCAGCGGTGGCGAAGAGCGAGCTGCTGAACCCTTCCTGTAGGCCGACGGCGACTGCGAGCGCGGTGACGGTGGCCGAGTGCGAAGACGGCATCCCCCCGGACCCCACAAGCTGCTTCGCGTCCCACCGGTTCTCCTTGTACCTACACACGCGCTCACGGATCCCGTGACGGAGAGCTCAGATCCAGCCGGCGCCGGATGGCAGGGTAGGGCGGGTGAAGCGTGCGAGAGAGAGGCGTACCATGTGGTGAAGACCTTGATGGACTGGGCGATGGCGAAGGCCAGCACGGCGGCGATGAGCGGGCAGTTGCCGAACACGGCCAGGTAGGAGAAGGCGGGCGACGCCGCGGGCGGAGGCTGCGCGGCGGAGGCGGCGTCTCCCATCGCGGCCGGCTGGTTCTAGAAGCTTCCACCCTCCGCCTCTTCCTCCTTGCGAGAAGAGAAGATCCGGGTCGGCTCCGACACGCTCACCCGCCGCGGTGCAGTCGACCCAGTCAGTCCTAGGCGAGGTGCCGGCGATTGGAGATTTTGGAAGCGTCCGAGCTGGCAAAATGGGCCCGGGCAGCTGTTAGGGTTGATGGACAAGTCACCATATCATGACAAGTAATTTGGAACAGAGAGAGTACTACAAGAAAAATGATGGGCCATGTGTTGGAGCAATGCAACGCAGTCAGCGCAGGTAGTAAGTTGTCAGTATTTTTAGCTATATATGGTCAGCTTTTTTGAGGTGAAGACATCTTAGTGGATGACTAACAAATCATTGGATGCGATGATGACTGTTTTTCGCGATTGTTACTTGGTTGTGTCTGAGATGTCACACATCTATAGTAAAGTAAAGAATTTTCATTGTGCGGTTGGAATTAAATATGATGTGATCCATGTTTGCAAGAATAATTGTGTTCTATGCTGAAAGGATTACGCCAACTTAAGTGAATGCCCAAAATGTAAATCATCAAGATGGAAAGATGGCGATGAAGTGAAAGGGATTCCTCATAACGTTTTGAGACATTTTCCAATTATATCAAGATGCAGAGGTTGTTTCATAATGCTCAAACAAAAGAGAATGTACTGTGGCATTCTAGGAATTAGGAGTATAAAGATCTGAATATAATGAGTCATCCATCTCATGGTAGTGACTGGACAAGTTTCAATAAGAAACACAAAGATTTTGCCGTTGAGCTGAGAAACATTAGTCTTGGCTTAGATACATATGGATTCAACCCAGTTGGCCACCAGAGCGGCACATATAGCATGTGGCCAGTGCTTGTTATCCCTTGCGACATGCCGCCAAATGTCTCGATCAAATAATCAAACCACATCATGGTCTTGCTCATCCC